TAAAAGTTAAATATCTCCCTCTAGGCAAGCCAATGGCAGCTAATATTATAACCTTGTTAGTTTGGCGTTGAGAGCTTTCATTTAACCCGAACATATGCCACTTTTTCGCTCAACAATATACACACCTCCATTGTAAGATGATACGTCAAAAATTGTACATATAGGTGACTAATTATGTGTACTTGATGATCAATGATCGATAATAGTAAGGTTATAGAAAATCAAGATGGTTGTTGAATATCTCTTTTGACTCAAAGTATTCAAGTTGCTTGAAAAAGTCGTTTTGACAAATTAAAATCAAACAGTATCGCTAGTAGAGCGTTTATACATTTCTATCTATAGATTTATTCAGTAATATTGATAATATCATATATCATTTGTAATTCATTAAACGCTAATAGTGATGATTGTAATTCAAATATATCTGTATCACTTTTGAGTATTGTATCAAAACTTAACACAAGCACATACTACCTTTATCTAATGCATCATTTAGACTAATAACACGCACGTATGCAACACTTTATCACACTATTTAAAAATTCATATATATATATATATATATATATGACGATTATTATAAAGATGATCATTTGATAGATATGTATATGAGTCTTGACTTGCCCTCTCTTAATTATGATCATATTCATTTCATTGACATATCACATTGGGCAGGTAAAAGTTCATGGATAAACATTGATTATGCAATTTTTGCATCGGAAACGAAATTCTACTGTTGATTATGAACAAAATGTAATCTGATTCAATGGGTTATAGGTATTAAAAGTAGCACACAATTGTATCATAAATTGACATTCTCTGCAGTTCATGTAGATACTTCATTTCAACATAAATATGTTTTTATATGATCGAGGTACAAAAGAAAAATTGTATAGAAAACCACTATAATGGCTTATATATGATAAAAGAAGAAGAAAGATTTTGAATTTAAATGAACCGATAACAGTCAAGAAATTTTCTAAATAAGTGAGAGTATCTACTAATAGATAGAACTGTAATACATTTTTATGTGTACTTCAGAATGATGTCAACATAATAAAAATTTTTTTATCTTTTCTTTTCAGAGACACTATAGAGCAGTGGTAGAGCCAAAGAGCTCGAATGTTAAAGGGGAAAGCTGAGTCCCGTAGCCTAAAACCTTGGCTTCACTTCTGCTATAGAGTACTATGCTTTGAGAACATACTGTGCGATAAAATTGTCCTATTTTATCTATTGTATCAAGATTAAAACATCATGCACCATCGAATAAATGACTAGTGCGTTCAGATGCTAGCTGATGTAGTAGTGGGTGGCTGAATCTGTCGTAGCTTTTCTCCATTATCGGCAGCGGTAGCTGAAAATTTTCGAAGCTTTTCTAAGAAATTTCTTAGTTTGATGAAATTTTGGAATGAAAGAAGGAAAAACTGATAATACAGAACGTAATGATAATAAACTAGACAAGAATGTGCCTAAAAGAGACTAGTGCTGAATGTCGATAATTTTCAATAATTTAATGTCTTTTTTATATTCTGACAACGATGACTGGAATTTTCATCAATTATTCAGAGATGCGCTGGCGCCTCAACTGATCTGCTTACATCTTTAACAGTGTTACTGTATAAAAGATCGATTAAATAACACAGTTTATTTGTGTCAAATAAAGAATAGCAAATTTATTTGTCTAGCAACGTCGAGTGACACATCGGGGCACGACGATTAGTGTTTAGCGCGAGTTTGACTGAAGGAGTGATTAGAATGTGCTAATTTATTTAAGAAAAGCTTTGCCGCAAACATGTTATTCTGGACAAGTGATTGATAGTTTAGGTTGTATGTGTGACTATAGGTGTGCGCCAAGAGACTTTTACCTTGATCTTTACATTCACATCCAAAGTTTTTAGTTTATATCATACGTTAAAAAGAAGAAAAACAATTTATCTTATCTTTTACATTAGCTAATGGTTGACAGTTTTGCCTTTTCTTTTCTTCTTTGTTTTCTCTATAATTCTTTCTTTTCTTTTTACATTTCATTCTATTTTCTTATCATATGTCGCGATATAATTATGAAGGGGTGAGAGATATTCTTTAGATACAGAGCAGAAGTCCAAAACAACATATATTTTTATCTTATTCTTGGGTTAGCACATACATCATCCAAAAATGTCGAAAACTAATTCCAATCTAACACACAAAGAGTCATTGAATAATAACCTCGAGTCATCTTCGTCAAAAGATTACGATGAAGAACAACAAAAATCTAATGTTACTGATGGCATGACTTGCTCTTCTTCGGAACATCAAACACCTCTGAAAGGTTAGTTCTAGGAATGTATTCCTAAAAAACCAGTATAAATCTAGTTTAGAAACTATTTAATTATTTTGTGAACTTTTGATGATTTTGAAAGCAACATTACATCTTTCCACATGTTCAAAGTATACTAATTTCTATGTACGAGTGTTATTCGTCATCCTATCCGTGTATACTCTGGAGGAAATTACAAAAAAAACCGATGTGGAAATCGTAACAGCTTCAAACTCATTTATTCGTTCTCGAGAATAAATTAGGTCAACCAACATGTATGAGATGAAGCGCTGATAAGTACATGAAACAATTTATTCTATTTCAATTGTTATTACACTAACATATTTCGATATCATCAATTTATGTGTATATCTATTTAGTTTTTGACACATTCTTGAGGATACATATACTGAAAAGCATGAGTTTGATTTTATTCGCTACTGTATAAACTAAAGTAGATTCGATTTATGTCATATTCATGAGAATGCGATGGACATCTTTAAAGAGTCAACTAATATGAGATGAAAGTAAATAATATAGTTTTATCTAGATAGAGTGCATGATAAGATCTTCATTATTAGGTATGATGTTGTTTAACTCTTACAAAAAAAGAGTCGAACAAGTACCATGTGCTAACTACAACGAAAGATATCCTTACATTCTGCTTAAAAAAAGCTGATATAAAATCAAATTTTGCTATCGGAAAAGGCTTTTGGCACAATTTTCAAGGATTCAAATGTGAAACATCCTATCAAAATGTTTCACATGGTATACAGCAATAGATAGCCGTATCCTTCAGTCTGTTTGTCACGATCTATGGAGTAGATCGGAGGAAGAAAAGAGGAAAGAGAGGGTTGAGTAACTATTATCACTATCTATTGTAGTATTCATTTCCAATCATGTTTCATTTTTTCTTTTAAGTATACTGATAAACTATTGCACACTGTATAGGATAAGTACTCTGAGGTTGAACTAGACAGAAGACGAAGAGATAGAAAAATGAAACTATTCTATTCTTCAAAGATAATGAATGGATTCTTTTTGAGTTACTACAGGTCGAATATTTGACATAAAATACTTACGTTGAAAATATGAACAGAAATTAAAAAGAATTCACCAAAATACTACGACGATTTATCAGAAAAAGAGGTCACAAAACCGTGAAACACATCAACACTTGTACTTGTATAATAAAACAAGCTTTATAAACGCATAATAAAAATTAAATACATTCAAGTGATCTCATGTATTGAAAACTACTTTTCTTTCAATGACTTAGGAGATAACGCAACAAACAGCCTACTTTTAAGAATGATCGATTGATCATGTTTTAACATAACACCACAATACTCATAGAACAGTAATCTTTAAAAATATTTGTACGTCTCTAACGAATTCAAAGTCTTGATCTAGCAATAATTATAATGTCGATTAAATAGATTCTCCCAAAAGACAGTATTCTTTAACAATCAATGGCTATCGAAAGTGTTGTTTATTTGCTCATATTAGTATATTAAATGATCTTGAATGAATAAGATATTTATTATATTTTTTGTTTCAGTTGATAATCGACTTCTTCAAGTGGCTGCTAAACACAATATCAGCACTATATTGGCCAATCATCTTGAATTGCTTAAAGATATTGACATAGTTGTTGTCTGTGCTGATTCGGCATCTATGAAAAAACGACTCCATGACATGAAATATAGCCGTTGGGATGAACTTCGTTTGATTGTGGAAGTAGTTCTTGAAATTGGTAGCATTTTCAACTCAAGTGGCATCGATGTGTATTTTCTTAATCGACCACCATTATTTAATGTTTCTGATCTCGGACATATCGATCAAGCATTTGCTTTTGAACCGGATGGCTATACACCGCTTGTTTCTGTTCTGAGGACGATTTTCAATTCATATAATGATAAACGAGACAATAATAAAAGAGTACTTGTCTTGGTGGCGACAGATGGAGAGCCAATCAATAATGAAGGTGATAGTGATGTAGCTGCTCTGGAATATGTCATGCAGCAGGAACGTCAATCTAATACAATCTATGTAACATTTCTCGCTTGTACCGACGATGAGTCGAATATTGCCTATATGGATGAATGGGAGAATACTATGGTCAATGTCAATGTTACTGATGATTATCGAACAGAACGAGATTTTGTGCATCGAAATCGTGGTCCACATTATCCCTTCTCATTTGGTGATCACATTGCTAAATCATTGCTCAACGCCATTGATCCAAAAATCAACGTATTCAATAATCTTGAAATTGAAAACAATACCAATGCAAACATGGATACCTTAGCGAGATCATGAAATTTTTGGACTCATATTTTCCTCAATTATTTTTAAACTTTTCTTTTTAGCTAATTAATGGAGCTTATTATTATTCAAAATGTCATCATTAATATTATTTTTATGATTTCTAATGCATCATGATACGAAAAAACTATCATTTGCTAGCCATTTTAGCTAATCTTTTAGTAATAAAATTATAACTCCCTTCTAGCTTAGCATTTTTTTTAATAATCCAACTGCTTCATATGGTTGACAAATCAATCGACTAATAAAACAAAATCAAAAACCTCAATATTTATTTCCTTTTTCATACATTGGCTATCTAGTCTACAGTTTTAAAATTCCACGTTTGTATCCTTGAATAAAATATATATTCCCATGAATGAGCATTTGTCTCATTTCATTTCGTATATTTGTTTTACGTCATTAAGTAGATACCAAATGGAAGAACTGATGTGATGCAGACAACCAACAAGATACTTCAAAACCCATCAAATTTGATATTAGAATTATTTGGCTCGGTTCTGTTAGTAACACTTCGTTAAAAATTAACACTTTGATAACATCTGATTGCAATAAATTGAAAACTTACTTCACCTACAGTTACACATAATTTAACGAAAAGTTGGACTTTTCCATTTCGAATTAATGTGAGATATCTTGTACACCGAAAGATTATCTCTACCATCAAAAGAAGAGAGGAGATATCAAATATTTGGTACAACTTGTCACATATTATTTTATATCTGACAATCAGTTATAGCATCTGACTTTTTCTGAATTCTTTTAAAATATTTTTCATGTCAAATCATTGTAGGCGACAGTTTTTGTCGAATCAATTTATATAAGACACTACCTGTCGAGAATAATCTCAACGAGAAATGTCTATCCTTAAATTTTGATAAAAAATATATTCTCATAGTACCTTACTTTTGTTCTGAACGTTCTTCTCAGAGCTTCACTTCAAAACAAAAAAAAGCAGTTGAAATTCTGTTTTCGATGTTGTATCTGACTTAACAAGTAACAAAAGTTAGACTTTGTTCTTCGATATTTACTCGAATTTTAATCGTTATTACGGCCTTTAGATCTTTCATTAATAGTCTTACAAGTATTTTTCGAAACATTAGAAAAAAAAATCAAATAATTGGTGTATATCTTCAAAATAGATCATTTGTGACTGTTTTAAAAACTATTGCAAGCATGAACACAAATAAGTTAGATCGTTTCATACGTCATATTATTATTAGCATTGTCTCTCTTGCTTTCTTTTCTCAAGATTATATCAGAATGAGTGTTTATAAACTCACGAAAATAGATTTGAATGATCTGAAGTTCGTAATAACGATTGAAATTCGAATAGATGTCAAAAAAAAACGCTGAATCGTATTTTTGGCATCGAAAAAAGTCTAATTTTTTCAATTCTAACTACAACTACTACTTGTTCTACAGTGTTGATGAAGTTAGTCTTGAAGGATAAAAACTTTCAAGTCTTCTCTTTCAAATAGAAAAGAAAGATTTGGATCAAGCTTGATTAGTAATGGAGTTATATACATTTAGTAAGTAATTATGACTTTCGAAACAATCGGGATTATTACAAATCGTGGTTATATTGAAATATGTATTTATATCTACGATAGTTATTTATCTTCTCTACCTACACGTGTGCATTGATCACTCTTAACTAGAAATAAAGAAGCAAACAAACTAGCTGAGTTTATTATCTTTTTTTTATGAGCATGAATATCCTTGGATGCATATACCACGCAATTGACTCAACAAAGAACAATTTTGCATAGGAATTTGCTGGAGCAATGATCCAACAAAACTAAGCAATTAAAATCTTCATTTCATCGAATATTACAAAGAAAGTGAAATCTTCCAAGAGTTGAAGAAGATAGAAGTATTAATACAAGATAATATATCGTTCATAGAATTGTTTATCAACGATGGCTTATAAAAGAAAACCATCGCTTATCCTAAGTATTACATTACAATCAGGTTTGAGTAGGTACGATATATATTTAGATAACTATTCACCGTGACATGTGACCCTCGGCTCTAACTATTAAAAACACGGCAGGCTATAGTTTTATATCATTTCTTCACATCCACGTCCACTCTAGACTGACATCAATACCCATTTGCCAATATTATGTATGTTCTCTTTTTGCAAAATAATACCAAAAAATTTGTGAGATCATATCTCTTTCATAGAACGTTCGAATGGTATAACAATCTTGAAAAAAAAATAGAATGAATATTATTTGCATGCTATGTTTTTGTTGCCTTTGTATTTGCCATCGAGAAAGTTAGGATTGTAAGTGCTTCGATATTGCGCATAGCATTCAACAGCTAATCGATCACAATCACACGCTTTTCGGTCACACGTATTTTCTCGATCTGTGCATAGAATTCCGCCATTTGATAATCCTGTCCAATCATAGGTGACAAGCTTTGGTGAACAACCAAAAAATCCACCTGATATACGATCATAACATTGATCATGCAATTGACAACATTGATCTGTACTATCGAATACTTTCGAACCATAGTTACCCAAGCCACACCTATGAATGAATCATTCTATTGCGTTTTAATAAATAGACAAAATTAACATACCAACAACCATAGCCAATATAATCAAGTGAACTGAAACCTTTATGATTGATCATATGTTTCAATTGAATAAGATTTCGCTGTGGTATTCCTGCATATGTTGTCGCTAATAGAGAGAAAACAAGCACTAAAATAATATTCGCTGTCATCCTTATTCTATACAGTCGAAGGTACGCGTTTGTATTTATAAAAGACATAATATAATAAATTTTTATTAGGAATAATCAAAATGTCAAAGATTAAAAGTTGAGATATACGAGTGTTTGTGACAAAGTATCATTCTCCCTACTTATTATGCTCCGAATAATTGTCATGCAGACTCATATGTTTGCCATTTGATTTACGAGATTGATTTATTGTTTTCTGATGCAGCTAGGAGGCTCATATTCATGTAGTCATTCAATTTGTTATCTAACTACATGAATGTTTTTATCGTCTTGATAAAAACAACAAAAAGATTTTTATTTCTGACACTATGTTTGTAAACTTATTATTTGATTGGTCAAAACACGAATTTTAAATATTTTAAAGATGGACACAAAGAAACTGATATTATGCAATCAGTTGGCGGAGTGAGAATAGACGCGTGAAAATGAGACTAAAGAAAAGATCTTCACTCATCATTACATTCATACCCTTTATAGGCTTATCGATTAGTTTAAACTATTATCTGCCAAAGGTTATATTGTCGTTTCGAATATCACAACCATGAATGACTTCAGCATTTGTGCATATAGAGGAAGCTTAAAAATAGAAAAAAAAAGTACTCAGTTACATTGAATCATATGATACGCATGGCACATTTACTTTGTTTTAAAATAATGGATATCATATTTTTTTACTGATAATAACGCGACTTCATCCATTTTATTTTTTCCTGGTTTCAACTGAGAGCATTTGTTATGATAATAATTTTCAATTACCTGAAGGAAAGAAAAGAAGATAAGAAAAACGTTAAGTATGAAGATTCTTGCCAACTCTTTTAGACCGATCTATTGGTTTACTTAAATAATAAATGATGATCAATGTTTCGCTCGAGAAATCTTTGTATCATCATATTTTCAACGAGAGTATATCTCAAATGAATAAAACCCTCGTTAACTGAATGAAGAATACAGTACTTCCATCGTTGATCAACGAAGATTTACAGCATACAATTCATGTTCATAGATAGTAAAATGAATTTTATTAATGTCAATCTAAATCGAGCAGTGAGTCGTTATTACAAAATGCTATTTTCATTTATTCATGACTATAGATAATATTTTTACTTTTCAATATTGATAATTGTGAACAAGAGCATCATCAAACATGTTCTACTCAATTTACTTCAATTATGGAAAAGAATATGTTCGAGTAGTACTTGAAAAAAATCCAATAGTTTGATGAAAACAGTCGAGAACTACGTATATTTGATAGTCGTGCATACAATGTATCCTTGAAATTTTTTTTCATAAATGTGTCTCGAATGGTTAATTTCTTCCTTTTCATTTTCGATAGTTTGATTTTGATGTTTATGGAAAACATGAGCTGTTGTGAGATATGAAGAAGATAGTTGCCTTATTTAATGCAATTCGACTTCTAACCACTCTTTAAAACAAAAGCGTTCAGAAACAGAACAAATTTCTGCTTTAGGAAAAAATAACCAGCTTCATTGACGAAATCAACTACAAAGCCTCCACTTTTTTTTTTCTTATTTTTATTGGTAGTGATATAAGCAGAAAAATATTCTAGGTAAGTGTCGAACATCTGTTCATGCCACTATTAAAGTTTAAAAGTATCAAAGAATTACTAGAGCACATAGAAGAGAATAAAATTAGCTTTTCATAATGCTGAGAGATGTACTCTAGTTCAAGCTAGGAATTCCTCCTTCGAGGAAGCCTGCCTTTAAGAGGAGCACAACACTAAGCAAGAAGTGTGCAGCCAGCGACCGTTGGTGTGATTTGGGGTGGCCACTCAAGAAACAGGTGATAAGAGAGGATTGAAGTAGTCAAACAAAGTAGAACACTTTTTTTGATAATCCTTGAACTGATTAGGTGTAGGTACAGATGTGGGATGCGATGGGTGCGTGGGCATGAATCTGAGCGAGGCTCTTTTCGTTACTAAAAGCTACGCCCGCTCTGTTGATATGTTACATAGAAACTGTATTCATGTCGATAAAAATCTACTTTCATCATAGTGTCTTTGTTTGAACTTGACATACTTCGTGGTTAAGATGGTAGATAAATAGTATCTATGATTCAAACATGTTATTACATATCTTAGCTATATGTGAAGGGTATATTCATATTTATCATAGTTATTTATCTTGCACACATGCACATACGCATTGATAACTGATAACTAGAATTGAAAAAGAGAAACACTAGACGAGTTTGTTAAATTTTCTATGAGTATGAATATCCTCAATGCATATACCATACAATTGACTCAGTAAAGATCAATTTCGAGTAGAAATCGGTTGGAACAATGACCCCGTGTAACTTAGGAACTAAAATCTTCATGAAGTTTGACGCTTTTCAATAGTGCCTTTTCTATATTTCTACAATTGAGTTAAGCTATTCTCATAAAGCGACGTGTTAGTTTTATTTCTGTCTAAAATTTCAAAAAAGAACACACATGAAAACTCTTGAATAAGAAAGCGTCAATGAAACGTCCATATTTCAGTTTAGTACTCATGTTTTTGTACTATTTGTACTGTATAATCCCGTGCTTCACCATAACCAGTGTTTTGGCACGGATTACGATATCTTTCATCTTGTACCAGAACAATTCTCATTCGATGTTGTCCACCGACGTTATATCTACCATCAATTTGGGGAATGGTAAAACTTATATCATTCTGGGTCATTCGAGGATCATCTCGATACCAATTATTAGGAATTAATCGTTCTATATTGTCATCAAATGTACCATCATTATTGAAATCTATCCACATACCAAGATAGCGAGCATTGCGACAATTTCTTCCGAATACAGATGGATCTTGACTATAAGTGTTACCATAGCCTGATTGTTCGACACAAGATAATTCGATGTGAAGAGTATAAGCCGTATTATCAAATAATGTCACAGCTAGATTGCTTCGATCAACATAATTATTTGTTGAGCTACATGTTTTTGTATCATCCCGGATCTCTGTATTGTCCTCACCCGATATACTTACCGAAAAAATAGCACTATTGCCTACTGAACATATTAAATTACCAGAAGAGCAATGTGTACCTACGTAGCCTAAACGAGAGAATACACCATATTGTAATAAAAAATAAACAAAATTGATGAAATGATTTTGTCCATGTGTATGAGAGACGGACACTAGTTTTGGCGGCATCTTTACAATCGTAGTCATGTGATTCATGAAATTTGCTTGTCACTTCATAAAAAACCTATGAACTTGATTTTGTTTTAAATACATTTCGAATTTTTTTCTATTTCTAAACGGTCGCGTTCATGGTAAGGTATATAATTTTACTTGGAGTTTTTTTTTAGATTTCACTATAAATTAGAATTCTATCACAAAATACCGAATTAATTACAGTAAAATTGAATAGAAATAATTCAATCTTTTATTTTTCCAAAATTTTTTTTTTCATCACTGATGTCTAGAAAATTTGTATCCGATTAAAACGAGCTAAACACAAAAATTAACTGACAATAATAAAAACTTAAAATAATCATTTTGTTTACATCATAATTGAAGTTATTTTCAATCATAAATTTTCGAAATATAAATTGAAAAATAAACTGAACTCTATATAATCTACATATTTTCAAATTCATCACGAGAATACGTATTTAGACTGAAATGTCATTATAGTAAATTTTTAAATTAAATTGTTTCTATTCATTTTGCCACCTAATAAATTATAAAGAACATTCATAAACAATTTTTGCTAGAAAACAGTCAAAATACTTTGTATTTTCATGAGTCTTTGTGATTTGATATAGATTTGTACTTTCAGTATAAAAAAAAAAAAAAGTATAAATTTTTCCTTTCCAAAAAGCTACTCGATAAACTTTGTGATACGGAGCAAAAAGAAATTTTCAAAGTTTTACATCGAATATAATGAAATATAGAAAAGTATAGATTTGTTATAGACGTTGAAAACATTACGGAATAGTCAATTCACTTTTCTTCAACTAATTTCAATTATATATCAACCGAAGAAGTGCTATTTTGTCATTCAGATTGTCTAAAATAATATTTGTCTGTGGTTTAATTGTAGTTTGCCATCAGAGGACCTATCTAATGTTGGATCAAATGTTCGAATCCATGTTTGCTCTCATTTTTTTTGTTTTTCTCCTGACTAATCTGGAGGAAATGGACAGAAAAAACAGACTATACATGACGGATCCAAAGACGTTTCAGATTAACCTATATGTGGTTGAATGACATTTCTCGAAAACATAACTGCTGCTAAAGGATATGCAAGATGTTTCTGACTAGACCTAATAGGTAATGTGAACATTTTAGACTAGCTTTGAACGACGTCTTCACTTATTTTTTGTTTACCTCTATTATCTACACGATATGTATCAGGAGCAACATATGTATCAGGGGCAACATATGTATCAGGAGCAACATATGTATCAGCGGCAACATATATATGAGGACCACCATATGTTTCCTTTGGAATGATGTTGACGGTGTACTCTCGTGTTTCACTGTAATCAGATCTGCCACATAATCGAACATACTCATCACTTGCTTTCACAACAACGCGCATGATATGTGATCCATCTTTCGTAGTTACTCGATCGATACTGGGTACAGGAATTTCCAAATCATAAATTCCTACTGTCATTGTACTACGCAGTGGCCATCGATTTGGGGTGCGACTTTCTGATTCGTCAAATCTGCCGTCGTTATTTAGATCAATATAAACATTTACATCATAAGCAAGGTTGCATTGGATCTTAAATGGAGCTCTACTAGAGCGACGGTCGCAGTCTAATTGAATACGTATTCGATAGATGGTATTTTCAAATAATGTAACAGCCATATGGTGTCGATTTTGTTCCGGTCTGATGACAGTATTTATTGGTGTATCATCTCGAATATGAGATCCTTTTTCACCAGCCATTATAACAAGTACAATTTTGCCATGAGTTTTAGTACATACATTGCTCGGTAATGTCAAATACGGGCCTCCAATATCGACTAGAAATAATAAAAATGCACAAAAATAAGTATTCTGTATGAATTCAATTGAGAGAACAATGTAGTATATCATATCATAGAAATTTTAGGACCTGCACCGATACAGGGCTCGTTCATCAAAATAATCATTTTCAATTTAGAGTTAATGAGAATATATTTGAAATTATCTAACAATTGCATAATTCAACTAGATCAATGAGAAGCATTACAATGCATCTATCCTTTCGTTATATAACGCAACTTCGAATTTCTTTGACAAACTGAAACAAAAAGAATAAACGGTTTGTGTACACTCATAAACAATGTTATATTTCTAGTATTCTTTTTTCTAGTTATTCATGATATCATATTCATAGTCGTATAGTTCGATTGTTCGATCATATCTAGTCATATATTCATATGAGCAGAAATAAAAGAATAAAATCAAAAGCATACACTTATAATTTTTTTTTTTTCTTTCTCATATAAAGCGACTCCATTACTTGGAAGAACACTTTTATGAATATATTAACTTCAGAGTAAAAAACAAAGATTCTCCTTTCTTTTTTTCGTGATATTTTCATTGATGACTATAAATGAAAAATAAGAAACATTTGTTAGAGAATATATTACTAGTATTTTTCTTTTTGAGGAATTCAATAGTTACAGTTAGATTACGAATGAATTTGATCTAGAGAAAATCCGTAGTATTTGTTCTTTGAAAAATAGTCAATATCGATGTCTAGAAGAAAATTAGGTGGAAATTCTATCAGAAATACTAAGCTTTTATACAAAAGCATATTATTCTCTCAAAATTTTATGTATAAATAATATTATTAGAATATATGGAGATACTATTTCTCGATGTCTATTCCCAGGATAATTTACTCATTAATTATTCTTATCGAAAATATACATGCATTTGACAGCAGCGTTCATTTTTTAAAATTTGAATATAAAAATAGTATTGAAAAAAATTGTTCATGATAAAAATGGTCAAGTCATACTTATAAGATTCAATGTCTCTAGAGATATAATAGAAGAAAACATATTTACCTGTTTGCTTCATATTCTTTTTAACAATAGTAACATTATATTCTCGTGTTTCTCTATAATAATTCTTGCCACATTTTTGACGATACTGTTCATTTAAGGTTACATCAAGACGCATTCGATGGGGTCCACTTTTTGTTCTCGCTCCATCGATATCAGGAACATATATTTGTAGATCATATATGCCTTGTGGCACATAGCTAGTGAGTGGCCAGCGATGAGGAGCTGCATTTTCCGTATCGCTAAATTTACCGTCATCATTTAAATCGATCCATGCAGCTACATCATGAGGCAGGTTACAGTTGTTTCCAACTGAATCTCTGTCTTGTGTTCCAGTGCATTCTAATTGGATGCGTAGAAGATAGACGGTATCTTCATATAGTACAATAGCTAGATGTTGATAATTTGGAGTCTTGCCGGTCAATGCAGCTCTAGTTGATTCATCATCTCGAATTTGTGTTCGATGTTCACCGGCCATCACAACAAGAATGAGTTTGCCAACATCAGGAGAGCATGGCACATTGTGCGGTACCACAGAAGTTGGAGTAGCATCGAGTGCTGCAAAAAAACCAATTCACAAAATAAATTATTTCGTTTTAATCAATATGCAAAACATTAATAATGTCTCGTGCTGAATTTAGTTTAACATTTTTCTTATGTGATACAACTTGAACTTTTCAAGAGTAAATAATAATTGAAACAAATTAGAATCTACATTCACTCACTGAAATACTTATTTATGTGGGTGTATAAGATTCTATTTGATTGATTGTGACAAACAAACAACATTGTGTACAAAAACAAATGTGATGATACGACTATCTTACTCAAATGTTTATGAAAAAGTTACAGCTAAAATCATGATGAATCAATATTATTAGAAATAAACTTGCTTACAACAATCTTACATTGTCAAAAGTCCAAAAATCATACAGTCTTCTAGAAATATATCAGTGTAAAGAACATTTCATAGGCCAATATCTATGTACAGAAGTGTTCTATGGCAACAGTTCATATGGAATGATGAATGCTTACAAATGATGTAATCAGTACTGTAGATCACAGAAGACGTTATCGTTTTCGGTTTTGAAATTATTCAAAAAACTAGAATCTAACTCTGAAAACTTCGACACATATATTTACAATGATATTCTCTGTAAAAATGTAAATGTCTTCATGGATCATATCAATCGAAAACTGAGTGAGTTCTATTTAAGCTTTCTTTCCATTTTACGAGTCAGTATAGTGCAATTTGAGAAAAATGATACTAAATTATTCATAAGACTGAAAAAAAAGCCTGAAAGATTGCTTTTTAAGGAATTTCAACATCCAATGTGTACATCATTTGAGGAAAAATCTAAAGCATGTTTTCCTAGAAAAAAGTGTCAGTGAAATTAATCAAAGAGTCAAAAATATGGATGTCACGAGGTTTATCTGCCCATACAACAAGTACTTTGTTGTTCTTTATGAATGATTAGTAATCAGTTTAATCGAATACTCTACTAGACTTTTTTGCGAATATTCTTTAAAATAGTATTCTATATCTCTTTGACAGTTCTGAGAAGTTAAAGGCTTTTACTAACATATTTCTCATTTCAGGTAAGATTTAGGAAAATACTTGAAAAAAAATGCAACAGACATATATTTAACTTTGGTTAAAAATGGATTATTTTCTTAAATATTCAGGGACATAAGTAATAATCAATAAATACTGCTAGTGTTTGTTTCTTCATAGAAAGCTAAAACAAATTATTTCAACTCTTTTTCATTTACGATTATAAGAGAAAACGATTCACTAATAAATAGAAAAATACTTACAAGAATATTTCATTCTTGGAACAATGGTCACCATATATTCTCGTGATTCGTTGTAATCATAATAGCCGCAAACACCTCGATAATGCTCACTGGGTACGACAGAGATACGCATTCTATGTGGTCCATTTTTCATATATCTGTTACCGATTAATGGCACATATATTTGTATATCATAAATACCTTCGGCCATATAACTGGTTACTGGCCAACGATAAGGTGCGCCGATTTCTGAATCATCGAATCTTCCATCATCATTGATATCAATCCAAACATTGACATCTTGAGCGAGATTACAACCTGTTGGAGTTAAATCAGTTCTCAATTGCGAAGAACAATCCAATTGGATGCGTAGTAAATAGACAGTGTGCTCAAAAAGTGTAACAGCCATGTGGTGTTGATTTAAATAATTACTTGCTAATGAAGTTGTTGGTTTATCATCACGGATTTCCGTTCCTTTCTCACCGGCCATTATAACAAGATTGATTCTAGCGATGCTTAGAGGACAGACAAACGGTGTTGTTGGTGGAGCTACAATTAAAAAACATTCCCAATAAATATTTAGGAAGTTTTTTCAATACAAATGGTCAAACATGTGCTATCACGATACAACATATGTAATCAGCAAACAAAAAACAATGATTTACCTGTATATCGCACTCTTGGAATAACATCGACAGTGTATTCTCGTGTTTCTCTATATGGAAAACTGCCACATTCTCTTTGATACTCTTCACTTGGCATTACCGTAACGATCATGCGATGGGGTCCGGCTTTCGTAGCTCGGTCGTCAATTCTAGGTATAATTACGTCCAAATTGTATATGCCTGTAGGTACGTCATTGCTTAACCAAGCGCGCTGCAGAAGTCGACTTTCTGATTCATCCAATCCATTATCGTTAAAATCTATCCAGCCAGTCACACTTAGAGAACGGCTACAGGGACTGTCAAGTGGATCTCCACTCAATTGTCCGCCGCAATCGAGCTGGACATGTAATCGATAGGTTCCGTCTTCATATACTGTAGCAGTGAGATATGGACGATTGTTTGAAAGGGAACTTGTTCGTACGTCATCTTCAATACGTGACCCATGTTCACCAGGCATTTGGACAAGACCGATTTTGTTAATACAAAGAGCACATCGAGCCTTCTGTGATGCTGAATATGGTGTGGCGACAGCACGCGGCACTAATAAAAATGTACAGAATGGATCATTTGATTTTCATTATTTTTAAATGCCATCATCTACAGGTTGATTACGTTATTTTTAATAGTT